GGAGGGACATTGGAAACAAGAATGTCCATTGTTACGAAAAAATGTAAAGTCTGAAACCCCTATATTAAACATAGAAATGGAAGACTGAAGGAAACCGGAGGAATCTTCCCCAGCAGAGCCTCTGGTTAAAATTAAGCTGGGGGAAGACGAAACTGAAATAGAATGTTTAATCGATACAGGAGCTACTTATTCAGTTTTGAATACGAAGAAACATGAGTTAGGATATGATACTGTAAGAATTATTGGTGCGACAGGAAAGCCGGAGACGCGGCCCTTCTTTAAACCTCTAAAATTTAAAATTGGAAAACAATGGGTAACGCATCAGTTTTTGTATCTACCAGGTGCACCAAAACCTTTAATAGGCCGAGATCTACTAGAAAAACTAGAAGCTGAAATAAAGTTTAAGAATGGAGAAGTAGAAGTGTCAATACCTGAATCTAAATTTGTCCAAGCTTCAATACTATTATTGCAGGAAATTGAGCAAGTGAAAAGAAAAATCCCGGCTGAAGTTGAGGATGCAGTGATCCCTGTCGTCTGGGCAGGAGAAATACCTGGAAAATCAAAGAGGGCTGAACCCGTAAGAATAGACCTTATACCAGGATCAACACCGGTAAGATTGAAACAGTATCCCTTAAAATTAGAAGCTAAACTTGGATTGGTACCTATTATACAAAAGTTTTTGAAATATGGGTTATTAAGAGAATGTGAATCTAAGTATAATACTCCAATTTTACCTGTTAAGAAAGCTGATGGAAAATCTTACAGATTAGTCCAGGATTTGAGAGCAGTAAATCAAATTGTCCAAGATATACATCCGGTAGTGGCAAATCCGTATACATTATTAACTGCACTCACTGAGGATCAGGGATGGTTTACAGTTTTAGATTTAAAAGATGCCTTTTTCTGCGTCCCACTTGATTCCGGAAGTCAGGAATTGTTTGCCTTTGAATGGGAGAATCCTGAGACTGGAAGGAAAACCCAGTATACTTGGACTGTATTACCGCAAGGATTCAAAAATAGTCCAACAATCTTTGGAAATCAACTAGCAAAAGAATTAGAATTATGGAGACAAGAAAATAGAAATGGAGTAATGCTACAGTATGTCGACGATATACTAATAGCTGGGAACTCCCGAGAGGAATGCTTGGAACTGACAGTCAGTTTATTAAATTTCCTCGGACTCAGTGGTTACCGAGTGTCGAAAGGAAAGGCCCAAATTGCACAGGAAACTGTAATATATTTGGGCTTTGAAATTCTGAGGGGACAGAGACAATTAAGTAATGAAAGGAAAGAAGCTATTTGTCAGCTTCCAGAACCTCGAAATGTTCATGAGTTGAGAACCTTTTTAGGAATGGTGGGATGGTGTCGTTTATGGATTGCTAACTATGGACTGATGGTAAAACCCTTGTATGAATTATTGAAGTCATCAAAAGGTCCCCTGCAATGGACAAATGAAGATCGAAATGCATACATTCAACTCAAAAGAGCTCTGATGAAGGCCCCAGCTTTGGGACTGCCTAATTTAGAAAAGCCATTTGAATTATTTACTCATGAAAGACAAGCAATAGCCCTTGGAGTTTTAACCCAGCGACTGGGAGAATATAAAAGGGCTGTGGCCTACTTTTCTAAACAACTTGATCCGGTGAGTCAAGGATGGCCAAGTTGCCTAAGAGCAGTAGCTGCAACAGTGTTATTAATACAGGAGGCTCGAAAACTTACTATGGGACAAAAGATAACTGTTTATGTTCCACACATGGTGACCACAGTATTGGACCAGAAGGGTGGACATTGGTTGTCTCCTAGTAGAATGCTAAAATATCAAGTAGTACTAATAGAACCAGATGATGTGACCTTAAAGACTACTGCCGTGATTAACCCTGCCATGTTTCTCTCAACTCGACAAGAAGGCGGCAAACCGGAACATGATTGTCTGCAGACCATTGAGGAAGTCTATTCAAGCAGACCCGATTTAAAGGATGTTCCCTTGCAGAATCCAGATTGGGAGCTATACACGGACGGCAGCAGCTTTATGAAAGAGGGAAAGCGGGTATCAGGATATGCAATCACCACCGTCGAAACAGTGGTGGAAGCACAAGCACTGCCCAGCAAGACGTCAGCTCAGAAGGCCGAACTGATAGCTCTCACCCGAGCTCTACAGTTAAGTGCAAATAAGTGTGTGAATATTTGGACAGATTCTAAATATGCTTTTGGAGTAGTGCATGCACATGGAGCAATTTGGAAGGAAAGAGGATTGTTATCCTCACAAGGTACGGAGATAAAGCATAAAGAAGAGATCTTGAGTCTACTGGAGAGCATAAAGGCTCCGGCTGCTGTAGCTATTATGCATTGTAAAGCTCATCAGTCGGGACAAACCGCTCAGGAGCGAGGAAATAAGCTGGCTGATTTGGCCGCAAAGCGGGCTGCAGAAAAAGGCATAGAAGAAAATGTATTAGCAATAGTGCCAGGAAAACGAATCTCCCTTCAAGAGAACCCTATTTACGATAAACAAGATAAAAGACTAATCGAAACTTTACAAGCAGAAAGACGAGAAGACGGATGGGCAGTTACACCTACAGGTTTAGTAGTAATACCACATTCCCTTATGAATAGTTTAGTAAAGGAAGAACATAACACTGTGCACTGGGGGACTGAAAATTTGTTAAAACATTTACAGAAGTCGGTTATTAGCAGAAATATGGTGGAAATTATTAAGTCAATCACACAAAGATGTGAGCTATGTTGTAAAAACAACCCAAAAACACAGAATAAAATTCAATTTGGAAAAACTACTGAGGGACAGGCACCTGGGGAGTATTGGCAAATAGATTTTACCGAATTGCCAAGAAAAGGAGGACTAAAGTATTTGTTGGTCCTTGTGGATACCTATACAGGATGGCCTGAGGCCTTTCCATGTCGCACCAATAAAGCAAAAGAAGTAGTAAAAATATTATTAAAAGAAATAATTCCAAGATTTGGAGTACCTTTAGGGATGTCATCAGATAGGGGTCCACATTTTATAGCCAAAGTAGTTACCGAAATAAGCAGACTGTTAGGTATTAGCTGGGATTTACATACCCCTTATAGGCCTCAATCTAGTGGTAAAGTAAAAAGAATGAATTACACCCTCAAGACTCCGTTAAGTAAGATATGTCAGGAAACCTCAATGAATTGGACACAGGCCTTGCCTTTAGCTTTGTTAAGAATTAAGTCCAACCACAAGGTAGACAACATTTCAGCCTGTACAAATTGATGTATGGACGACCGTACCAAACACCTGGACTGCCAGGAGAGATGCGAATACAGGGGGAGAATGATGCAAGAAATTACTTGATTGCTCTCAGGAAAGTTTTACAAAAACTGAATAAGTAGGTAGTCTTAAATGAATCTCTAGGTCTTGATTCCCCAGCGCATCCATTCCAGCCCAGAGATTGGGTATACATCAAATCCTGGATTTCTGAAAAATAGAAAAGACCATTTCAAATCTTGTTACAGCCCAAAATAATGTTTCTCTAGCCCTTAGTTGTGTCCAGGCTCAATTGTGGATGCAGTCTATCGTAGCAGCAATTACAAGAGAAGGGGAAGAGGGCACCCTACCCACCGAAATTCGAAAGGTAATTTGGGATAATGCAACTAAATTTGAGAAAGAATTCCAATCCTGGTGGTACTTAATTAATTTCACTTTTGATCCCGTCAACAATAAGGCCACAGCTTTTGTTTTAACAGTTCATAATGCTTTGGTATACACCATATACCCAATCATTGCATTAGGATTAAATCACAACGGAGCTATAATCTATCCATTAGAACATAGGGTATGGGCCCGACGAACTGGAAACAAATGGCAGACTGTTGATGTTAGTACATGTATTGTACGGGAACAACAAGAATTTATTTGTGAAAGTAACACCATTAAAGCCCAAGACGTGTGCCTTGACACTGAGCAAAATGTCTGTCATTTTGAAGTGTATCCCGATGAAATGCTCGAAACTATGCTTGTATATATTGGAAAGGGATGTGTTTGTATGAGAAGCTTTTGTGATTTTGTATTTGTAGATAATGTTAAAGTAGATAATAGCAACCACTCAAATATATGTATTTGCAACTTCACTAACATAATGGGATGTGATTTTAACTATACTGCTCCTGTTACCTCTTATCAGTTACTACAATCCAATTATACACTAAATGAAGATTTGTTACCTACCTACCCCCATTGGAGTGAATCTCACATTAGTGAAAAAGTTGCTACAACATAATGATTTGTGCCGATTACTAGAACGAGTAAAGAAATACGCCATATCTTGGAAAGGGCGAAAAAGGATGGAGAACATAATTGGTGGGAAACCCTTCTTGGCTGGTCACCAACTGCAACAGGAATTCTGAACTTGATGCTCCATCCAATAATTATTCTGATAATCCTAATTGTATTATGCCTATTACTGATATTAATTTTATATCTTAGAATCTGGTGTATAATGCAACAGTTATCAGCTAAGATAGAATATCTGAAAGAATTACAATATATTCATAACCAATAATGTAGTGAGGATTGTAGCTTTAATAGCTCCAGATCCTCAAAAGAATAGGAGGGAATGATAACGTCAGCACTCAGAAGTATAGTTCCAGGTTCTCAAAAGAATAGGAGGGAATGATACCATCAGTGTTCAGAAGTATATGTAACACCTTGTAACAGTAATAGGAAAGAACAAAGGCAAACCATACATCAATAGTTAACCTTTAAAGTTAACCTGTAAGAAAGACAAGAATGACTTAGACTGAAGGACGCCAAATTGAAGAGGTGAGCAAAAGGACACAGTGAGGAAGACTACTGAGGACCACCAGAGGACCTTGAGAGACCACCAATGACCATAAGAGCGCATGCGTTAGAGACTTTTACATATGTTGATGAGTTCCAGGAAGTAACATGAATATGTTAATCACTACTAGGAAATCTAATGAATATGTATATTCTAATTGTATATAACTTCTGAAGTTGAATAACTTGGCGCGCACATTAGGTTGGAATGATCCCCTGTGCGCCCGGCGCCGCAGTAAAGAATGCCTGCTTTCTAAAACTCCAAATTGAGTCTTAGAGAGTTCTTCATCTGCCGATTTACGGTAACAATAGTTGACCTGCAGTAAGCTGTACCTTAGGGAAAGGGCAGATGCACAGTTAGAGCTCAGCCCTTCAGTGTACAAGGCTGATGGATAACTTGGTAAATCAAACTGTCTCAGATTGTGTTCTCTAGCCTAACTGAAACTAGCAAATGGCAGAAGCAAGATTAGAATTTGAGATACTTGGATTTTTTTTTTTTTTGTGGTCTTTTTAGTGTAAATCTCCTGCCTTGTGCTTGCACAGAAATCCTTCCAAATGCAATTTGAACGTTGTCATCAGGTAGGGTTGCAGTTTACGGTTTGTAAACAGCCTGGTGTGGGAGGTGTGAACTTCCACACCCTCCAGTGGTAGAAGTGGAAAGGCTGCTGCAATAAATGGGTTTAGTGGTAATTGCAAGTCTTGTACAATCAGCAAGAATCAGTCTTTTTCTTTGTACAGAGGCCACCCACATGTGGTCCTGATCTAGCTCTTGGGCTCATAGTGGTATTACTATAACTCAGTCACTGTTTCTTCTGCTACCATTAATGCAAAATAAGGAACGGGATAGAAACGCTAAGTGTGGCCGTGCAGTACTAAGTAGTATTTACACCTAATCCCTTTTGTCATTAGATGTATATTCACACTGCAAAATTAAGCTATCTTTAAAGAAACGCTGTATTCAAAAATATGATATGGCTGTTTCTGGGGGAGGCACCTCTCTTATTCTCACCATAGCAGTAGCCCAGCAATCAATCCCAAGCGATGCACGGGCATGGAAAGAAGCGTTCAGTTGTGGAGCAGTATTTTCCAGCTGTCTTTCATCATTGGGAAAGACTAACAGGAGGGAAGTGTAATGTCAGAGACTAAATCTTTAACAGCATAATCCAGGGGATTTTTGTTAAAAGCCAAAACTGAGAAATTAAGGGGAAAAGGTTCTGATTGTTTTACATGATTTCCATATAGGGTGTTTCACTGAAATGATCCCATACGTAGAAACTGGTGCTGTGAACAACCTTCCATGCACCGTATCTGTACCACCACTGTTGTGAAAAGCTGGTCACAGGGCCATGCTCCTTCAGAAACTGTCCTGGTAGCGGTGAAACCATTTTTTTAAAAAGGATATCTTATTGCAGTAATAATCAGTGTGAGCAGGCATGAATATATTTTAATATCACCTGCTGGAGGAAGAAACGGTGGTAGTAAGACTAATCTTCAAAGCCACGCAGTGCAGCATTATTAAGCTCATTCAGTAGAGATGATACATTCCTTTGGTAAACTACAGTGAATGGTCGTGATTGCAAATGTGAGACCCTGCCTCCCTCCCATCCCCGCTGGCACCTCCGTTCACATCAGCAGGAGCTTTGTGTGAAGCTCAGAGGGAGACTCTGACCTCTGTGCTGTTCTTAAGCCAAAGGGTGGTTAGGACAAAATGGCACGTGATCCTCTAGTGCAGTTGGTGGCTCTCAGCCTGGAAACGAAGGGTACCAAGACACTGTCTATGTCTTAGCAGAAAAAATAGTCAAAGACATTATTATTTCTTAAAAGGTACATAAAAATCAATGCAGACTCCAGATAAATCTTAAAATTAATGGTCAGAAGTATTCCCCATCTTCTTAGTGGTCAACAGCTCTATAAATAGGAAAAGACCTGAAAATTCAGTTGTCTTTGATGTCCTGGGGAAACTGAAGCCATGACAGTCTTCACAAATTTCTATGAGCTTCGGGAGCATTTAGTTTCTCTTCAGGAAGGAGCCATCCCATCAGGCACACCAGGAATTCGTTTGTCCTCACGACGGTGCTGGGAAGGACCGTCTCCATCGTAGACTTCAGCAGACTGGCATTGTCTGCAGGCAGATTTCCACCATAAGCAAGTTGAACTGTGAGGGTTTTGGATGATCTGCCGGGCACACCATGGGCTCTTCACACAGTTACCGCAAGCTTTTCTTTTCCCTGGCAGTAGAATATGTTTATACCTCTGGTCATTTTAATAGGAACCATCGAGTTGTCACCCATATAATTTCTGTGTTCAAAAGCTGTGCTTACAGGTGTGTTTTGAGGCATCACATTATAGGTATTACATTTCTAACTGTTTCCTGCATTTGCCTCTTCGTCAGACGGTAGAGTAATGAATTTGCTGTTACTCAGGAGCCGAATACTCTGCCTTAGCAGCAGCAGCTTCCCAGGCCACTCGGCTCCAGAGGAGCTGCTTAAGGTCTTTAACAGGATTGTCCTTGACTTATCCGCTTTTGATGATGATGAATTTTATTAATTAGGAGGATAATAGATCATATTCATTGGACAAGCTGGTTGTTTGTAAAATTAAAGACTAGCCCTGGTCTTGCAAACATGTAATTATGGGACTAACTTCATGCCTGTGAGTAGCTCCATTGAACTCATTTAAGTGTTTGCAAGCAGCTAGTTACCATGTACTCAGTGTCCCATACAGTAAATTCCCTCTCCTGCTGTTTTACTACACAGACGAAAACTGTATTTTTGTGTGTGTGTGTTTAGAAAAGTAAATTTGTTTTCTCATATTTGGCAATAATAAGTCATCTGGTCATTTCCAACTGCAGCTGACAAAGAAGACAATCTGTGTTGGAATATAATTTTTAATAGCTAGAAATTGTGTTGGGCATCAGTGAAGGAAAGTACCTCTTACATCAGAGTGACAGATGAGTGCCCTGTATATCTATTTGTTGTTAGAAATGACTCTTTATAAAATTAAAGTTCCCTTCCAAACTTTGAAAAGAAAGTACAGAAAAATGGAAAGCCAACAAATAAAATTAGTTTAAAATAAAATTAATTTTCATAATTTTATAAATAAATTTTAATAGAATTAATAAAAACGAAATTAGTATTACTTTCTTTTCAAATTATATTTAAATTTACTCAAGTCCTATTTTTAAACCTTCTTACATTTAATTTTTAATGTGTTTTGTATGAAGCAATAATTAAAAAAACCTCTTGCACATTTTGATGACTATTACAACTGCAGTTTTTATATAGTCTATGCTTTCATATAAAACCTGTAAAGTAAATTTGTTGTGATTTTTGGAACAGAACACTAACTTCTTACGTTTGCTGCTGAGAGCTTGTCTTTTCTGCTCCTGCCATAGCATTTTGCTGGGCATATATGGAACTAATGCAGTGGGGCCACTTGGTTTTCTGGCTGCCATTCCACCGAGTTTCACATTTTAATAAATCAGACTTGCCCTTTAAAAGCTGAAACATCAAAGCTTTTTAAAATATAAATATGCAAAGTCCTTAGCAGTGATTCCTTCTTACTATAGCAATACCCAGCCCTGTAATAAAAATAAAAAGGTCTGCTGATATGACTATAGATGAAAGATAACTTGAAAAATGCTTCTGAAAAGCAGAACAATTTCAGAACAATTTCGTTGCTGGAGAGTAAAAAAAAATACATAATTTCAATAAATGGGAACTGGATAATGACTACATGGAAGTGCTGGGGAAACAGAGCCGCTATTACAATACATGTTAATGTGATTGTTTCCCTGAAAGAAAAAGCGAGGGATTTTGCTAACTGGCCACATATAATTGCCTATTTTAGGATTCCATGACTGAGTATACATCTGGCTTGGATATGTTGTTGTGAAATGACATCCAAAAGACAGTGATAGCCCAAACTTTCCATGAAATCACATCATCATGTGTCTGTTTTAGAAGAATTTGTTTCCAGTGTTTATGAATGTCGATTTCTACCGCAGATGGGTTCAGTGCCTGGGCACCAAAAGAGGAGGTGGTGTCTGCACTCCTGAACCGACGTCGGTCTCATTCTGCCCCCAAAGCCTGCAGAGAGTCAGTTCATCCACATGAATGAACTGTTCAGTGTATACTTTATTTGAAATGCTATAGCTATATAAAAAAAAAAAAAGGTGCATTTTAAAGATTAATTTTGACAGCTTGTTGCTTAATAGGACTGTTTTATTTGTGTCTTCAGGATGTTGACCTGAAAGCATGTCAGGAAGCTTTGGATGACTGCTGTCCACACCAAGGAGATGATCAGCTGGAACTGCAAGAGGAGGAGGAGGAAGACATAAATGAAGTAAATGATGAAAAAAATGGAAGAAGGGAAAACTGTGAAAAGGATGTGAGGGAGGATATAGGTCTTATCACTGAGATAGAGAGTAGTGAAGGAAACCGAGTGAATGGTTTTGAAAGGAATATTTGATTTCCTCTTTTCATTTGGAGTGTCCTTTGCAAGGGCAGGAAAAGAACAGTGACTTCAGATGGTACTTTGTGAATGATGCCCTTGTACACCTTCTCAAAAGTTGCCCCCCCCAGTATAGTTTATGTAGTTGAAATGCTCTAAAGTTTACAGAAATCACTTGCAACTAACCATTTTTCAATTTTATTTTCTCCATCATGAAGGTGGTGTGTTTGTGGGCAAGGATTTTTTTGGCCTACAAACACTTGAGATGTGGATGCTAAATTATACTGCTTTCACCATTTATGTAAAGCTCGATGCTCAGATGTAGAATTACATTTGGGAAACTGGATTGTTCAGATCTTAACGTGCATTGTAACTAGAAGGCAGAGAAATAATCTTAATGATGTTAAACTGAAACAGGTGCATTTTGGGTTTTGTTCTCTCTGAGAGCTACAATGAAAAGAGCATTCGTTCTTCTTGAGATCTCATGAGAGCCAAGAACATCAGATCCGGTTTTCTTGCCAGCCCCTCTGTTTGCCACTGCCCTGGCACCTAGGCTTTGAAAAAATACTTGGTTTTTCCACAGTGGTGGGTAGGTGCAGCCTCACAGAGGAGGAAAGCCCAGTTCTGCTGTTGTGGGGCAGAGTAGGATGCTCTTGCCATGGAGTTATTCTGCTCATTCTAGCAACGTGACATCTCCCATCAGGACGAAGACTTGATGGCAGAGTCAGCAGCAGTGTTTCACAGACCTGTGCTCTGTTTCCTCTCGGACTTTGATTTTTACCTCTTTTTATGTAAAATAACTGTGCTTCACAAAGCATTTCTGTTTCTTCTGTCACAGAGCAACCGCAACCATGTAGATTCCCTTCTCTCCTTAGAGGGCTATTTACAGCTTCTGTCATCACAGATGGAAAACATGCTAGAGGTAAATGGGAAAACACATGTATTGCTAATAGATTGGGATACAGTCAGTGATTATTGCATAATGACTTACTCTGTTTTGTCTAATTAAAAAAACCCCTAGTGAATATATCAGCAAATCAATGCAGTAAAACTTACCTGAAGACGTTAAAGACGCTAGTACCCACCTTTTACAGCAGCTGTCATTGGCTCTAGTCGAAAAATTTTCCCCAGTAATTTGTCTGGGATTTGAAAACTGCAAAGTCCTATCTGCTATGTCACCTGGTGTTCAAAGTTGGATGGAGTCACCAGACAACTTAATTAGTTCAACTAATAATTCCCTCTCTGAAACCTAATGCCAATTCGTATTTGTACAGCAGCTCTTGGTGTGTTTCTCTAGAGCAACACTGAGTTGTTAAGCACTAGCAGCTATTAAGCATTTGCAGCCAAAGATTAGAGTTCCCATAAATATTGGGTCAAGTGCTTAGAAGGATACTACTCTCAAGAAGAACAGACCCATCTTTGCTGCAAATCAGGTCGGTCAGCATTAGTGGCAAAACCCTTTTGTTTTCTTTTTTTATCTTCTGGGCTTCTGATACTATTGTTTACTTTCTGGGTGCCCATCTTCACAAAAAAAGTTGTTATCTTAATCGGAGTCTCCCTCCTGTCCCACAGCTCATAGCTGCAATCATTAAACATGAAGCTACTCCCTACATTCCTTTTTTGCAATACTCCAAGGGCATCTTACATATGCTTCCCATTGTAGGAGCCTTACAGGGTCATTAGTGTTTTCCATATAACTTCATGTTTATCTCTGGAACACCTAGTTTTGGGAATCGCTAGGTTGGATAGTGCCTCCCAGCACATAAATTAGCCTCCTCCTCTATTCAGCTTTGGTGATGGATTCCACACTAACAAGGTTCAGAAGTTCATCAGTTTAATTTTCTCTGTTCTTCTCATAATTTGAAAGGAATTTGGCTGTAGCCTTTATGTAGCTATAACAATACACGGTTGCATATTTTATTTAAGACTATTAATGCACTGCCATCTTGTGACAATCTATCTGTTGAAAATGGATTGCTTGGTTTTTCCAGGTACGAAGTTTTTACAGTGTGGGGGATTTTTTAATAGTTAACTTGCTAAGAATATTACTTTTCAAGGGCTTAATTGAAAATACCAGCTCTATCTCTCAGACTACAGATGGTCTAGTACAAGGTAACTCCCTAGGAGAAATAAGGCAAGACTTTCTTCCGTGACCTGCGCTCCCAGTAAGCATAGTAAAGAACTTAAGACGTTCTGGTCTTTATGATACATCATTCCTTCCCTGTGAAAAGTGCTTTGTACATTGTTTGTTCAATGAACTGCAGTCACAAAAGTCCTTTCCTGCACCACAGTAGGGATGCTCAGCTATGGAGGAATCATATCGTACGCTTCCTACTTGATGTATTTACATCCTCAAGTTTTTTGTATCCCTGTATTTTATGACTACTCTACTTGTCAGCAAGTGCCCTGACATAATCTTGCGCAGTGGCTTTGTATTTCTAGGACCCAGCAACTATAACCCAGGCCCACAAAAGGGGGGCCTTAATGCTACTGCAGCACTTGTTTATCGTCTCGCCTTCAGGGCTGACGGATCATACAGCAGCTTTATTTTTGTAAAGAAAAACTGAGTAGTAATTTAAAATCAAAAGACATCCACAGAAGATGTGATTGGGGGTGGGGCTGTTTCCTCCAAACTGATTAGTAAAGGAGTTGAGTTGAAAACTGAACACAATAGACCTCAGTTAAGAAGGAGCTAAGCCAAATGCGGCAGCTCACACAAAAAGCTCAAAAGCTTTATAAACTGTGAAAGAAAAGCAGTAAGAATGTGCCAGCACGACCTTAACGTTCCTGCCCTCCTCCCCTCTTTTCTTACACCACTGTTCTCACTGGTTAAGTCCTGCCAGTGAGCTATTTATCTTCTTTACAAGGTTAATTTTCTAACAGTTAGCACCTTGAACCAGCTCACCCTGGAATCAGATGCCCCAGGGACCGCCCCTCCTAGAAGGACCTTCTCTTAGCCAAGATCAGATGAACACATAGGCTGTAGTTTGATGTACACTTAGCAACAGTCCCATTTCCACCTCTTTACACTCATCAGTCCCACACTGTCCTTCGTGAGTCCTCCTCCTCCCAACCCTTCAGTCACTTTTCTTTCGCACCCTTCCCGCTTCCTCTTGCCATATGCCAACACAGTGATGCTGTGTACAAATGGGAAACAGCGTTCAGTATAGCTAGAAGAAGTTTAACATTTAAGATTTTGACTTTAATAGATTCAAATAGTAGACTATTAAAAAATAAATTGATCAAGACTGTGTAAGTGAGAAACGTAGAGACAGTCATTTTATAAAAGATCCCATTTTCCCCCCGTCATCTTTTAGGCGAGTTTACTGGAAGATATACAAGTCGCTACTTCTAGTAGAGGCCAAGACCCATCATCCTCACACCACAATATAAGTTTGACCCAGACACTTTGCCACTGTTTCAGTCCTGATGATGCCACGCTACTAAGAACAGACTACCCCACTCAATCAAATTCAGAAACAAGACATTTACAAAGGCAAGAGTCTTTTCCTCAGTCAAGCTCTAATATCACAAATCCAGAATCACTACTTCATGGGTCAAGTTTGACGGGGCTGTTTTCAGCTGCTGACGTTAGAAACCTAATGGCCCATGATGATAACTTTGATGAAATTAAACTCGTGTCTTTGGCTTTGAAGGAATGCTTTGATCCTATAGAAGTTTCTCAGCTCTTTGAAGAACCTGGCTCAGATTCGGGACTGTCTTTGAATTCAAGTCACAGCACCACCTCCTACTCAGTCTGCAGTGAAGGTGCTGTTGGGTACAGCAGTGATGTTAAATCTGTTTCTTCGCACGGCTTAGGAGCTGTTGGTGGCTATAGCCAAGAACACAGTAAATATGGCCATGTGGAATATCCAGGTGATTCAGGGTGTTCTAGAGAAGCCACACTTCAGCAATTTCTTCATAACCACACTTACAATCAGCTGCCAAGTCAAGCAGCATCCACCCCAGAGCATCAGCAGCAGATGTGGATGGAGAAACCAAACAAAGTAAAGGATAGGTGCCATAATGCTACTGATACAAACCTTAGCAGTGATGAACGCCATGCAAAAGCTCTGAGAATACCGTTTTCAGTAGATGAAATTGTGAGTATGCCCGTTGACTCTTTCAACAGAATGCTAGCAAAGAACCATCTGACAGATACTCAGGTATCACTTCTACGTGACATCAGACGAAGAGGAAAAAACAAAGTTGCTGCCCAAAATTGTCGTAAACGTAAACTGAATGCAATTCTTAACTTGGAAGAAGACGTATGTAATCTTCAAACACAAAAGGAGAGCCTTAAAAAGGAGCACTCTCAGCGTAGCAGATCAATCAGCCGGATGAAGCAGAAGTTAAACAACTTGTACTATGACATTTTCAGTAGATTGAGGGATGACCAGGGTAGACCTGTTAACCCACGCCAATATGTCATTCATTGCAGTAGCGATGGCAGTGTTTTCATAATACCCAAACGCTTGGTCAAGTCCGAACAGAAACAAGATAACGAAAAAGAGCAGAAACAAAAATAAGATGGCTAAAGATCACTTAGGTTTTATTTTTCCTGAAAAAAATCATAAGGCTATTTGCGTGACGACTGGAGGTCAGCGATTACAGCAGTACAAACAGAAGACTACATTTGAGGAGGAAGACCGCATGTTCAAGGGTCTGCCAAACCCAGCCGACTGTGATGTGTTAGAAAGTCTACCAACTGAGGCTTCTGAATGAGGAAATCTGTTTAGTTTTAATTAGAATTAAAGGAGCTAGGCCATCAGTCTAAGCATAGTTATATAGGCCTATGTAAAACTAGGAATTTAGTTTCTGGTGACGGGGGAGGGGAGAGAACATCAACAGGGGGAAAAAAGCAAGCTTGAGATCAAAGTTACACATGGAAGAAAAATGTGTTTTAGTCTTGAGTACTTGATTCTTCGTACACGAAGTGACCTTATTTTATTATTCTTTTTTAGCACTGAAAGAAAAACTGTAACTCAAGTTCATCTTCACCTTAAATTCACTGTGGATGTTTGCATTCCTAAGAGATACTCTGTGCTTTGCATTTGTTCAGAACTGTTCTGCTTTTCCTAGTTTTCCTTTGAGGAGAGAGGCCCAGGAGGCTATTGCATTTTTCCTCACTACTTTCACCATCATAGCTCCAAACAAACGTATAACGCACCAGTTAATTTCACAACTCATATGGTCATTCTGCAAATAGATTCTGAAAAATAATTAGTACCTGATTCAGTATTGTCTTACCTTCATCCTCTGCAACTGAATCATTCTCAACTTTCTTCCATGAAAATGAGTGATGGTGAATGAGTTCCTGTTGTTTCCTAATCTGTGATGTATTTCCTTGTGTACCTTCCCTTCGCCCCCCATTTGGCTACCTTTGTCAAGAAGTACTGAAGTTTTTCTTTTTAGCTTTAGCTTTTTAAAACTGGTATTTTTTAAGTATCTTCAATGTTACAGATTTTTATTTTTAGATTTCCCCCCAATCTTTGAAGTAAATTAAATTGGACCAAATTACTCTCTATCTGTACTTGTGATAATGAGGTTACACTTCAATAGTGGCTTTGAATGAAGAGAAGAGCTTTTGGTTTTGATATTTATTTATTTGTGCTATGAAAAAGATGACATTTTATTCACTCGCATGCTTATTCACAACAGCTTATCCTTTCCTATGTTACAACCTGAAAAGGGTCTGCAAAAAAGATGGCCTAAAAGGCATGTGATGAATGTTAAGGAAGGAATGTTAAGAGGCATACTAGTTTGGAAGATACTAAAATAATTACTAATATTAACAACTAGATAGCAACAAATACTTTTTATATCTTTTATTAAAAAAACCCATAAAACTAGTATTAAAATAAAATCTTATTGGTCATGGCACGATGACAACGTAGCAACTTTATGGTCAGGGATGTTAAAAAAAAACACTTGCACCGAACACAAAAACTACCCATACATGCAATACAAGTTTAAATGCCAAATTATACCTTTTGAAGACATAAACTATGCCATTAGCGTGTAAATCATGTTGTTTGTTTGCACTTGTGTTTACAGTAACCGGTAGCATCAAGTGGTGTTTTCTAAAAAGGGAGCACTGCCTCAGAGTGCAAAACGCACTGAATTACCGATAATGAAATCAGCCAGTTCGAACCATTTGCTCTGCGTTTTATATGAAAAGATTTCTTTAAATAAATGTGTGCGTCTGTACCTGTTTTGCCACAGCCTCAAATTGATAGGGTAAATTCATAGCAGAAACTTTCATTAGCGAGGCCCTGAAATTTCTTGCTGTTGGTTAAGCACCAGCGCGAAGCATATCTATCCTAACAGGAATTCACAAGGAATTTATTTAATCAGTAGTTCATGAACTTCAACCAAAACATGCAACAGGTAACGGATACATATGATGAATTGTGAACTTTATTTCTAGTTCCCGGGGGGGAAAAAAAAAAAACCAACCAGTACACTTTTGAGTCAGCATGATTGTCATCCTTCAATTAAATGACATAATAAGCATTTTAAATTCTATGCATGTAGTCTTTGCAGGACCAGGTCTTTAAGTCTACTTCATGGCCCACATGCACAAATTCTGATAGATACTAGATGAGGCCCGTAACTGATAAAACCAGAAACCCAAGTATTTCTGTTTTAGGGCCTCACAACACAAGCTTCTACAGTCCTACGAGGGAAGGGAGGAAAAAAATGGCTAAAATTTCCAGTGCCCACTTCTTCCGTAGCAGTAGAGCGAGCTCTGCAGACTCTTGTAAAGCCAGCTACTAACGAAGTAAAGCATACACCCAACTGGGTAACAGTTACATGGTTAAATTTTGGCACATGCTGAAAATAAGCATGTTTGAACTCTGGAGAACAATCTTAATAGAAAGCAGCATACTCCAGGTGACCCATGTAAAGTGAAGACATCAGCCCCAACCCCAGTTCCCCAGGCCCATTCCATTACCTGTGAATTTGCAGATTGGAAAGTGTCACAACCTGCCCTCAGCTAATTAATTGCACTCTCATTATTGTTCAACAACTGCATTTAAGAAGTTTATGTATGAATCTCGATTTCTGAGAACTCAACTAGCAACTATACCCCTGCAAAACCACTCAGGTGAATTACTAATTTTGGGTGGACTGTGAGTTGTAACAGTGCTGACGACAAAGACACTGAGCGTTAGTCTGGATGTACTATGTAATTTTCTCAAACCTTAAGCTCCTACCCACAGAAAAAACTGCAGGCAGAATTCAAAACAGTGTCCTATTTTTTTCAATTTCAGTAAACTGCCATTTTCACCTAAAAACTGTTGATACTTTTTGAAGTGTCTTCCCTTTCTGAGACTAGCCTATGTTTAAAGGGAAAAAAAAAACAACAAACCATCAGAAAACCCCAAACATTGCTTAGTCTTGCCTATGCCTTACATTTTCACATCCTTAAATTACTTGTGAAAGTTAGGCTAGACAGGTAAGGAAAGAGCAGGTTTTATAGCAAGCTTTCCTCCCAAGACAAAGGGTTCCTGAAGCTACTTTTAATACACTTTGTACAATGGCCTTAGACTGTATAGAAGCTACTTTTAATACACTTTGTACAATGGCCTTAGACTGTATATTTTCAACATACACAAAAAGGAGACACTGTAAAGGAGTCGAGGAGCTATTCAGGAAAACAGTGCTGTTAAAAAAAAACTGAAGTGGTTGTAAAAGGTGGGAAACCCCCGACTGAAGTCTATCTTGGCTGTCTTACTGATAGATCATTGAAAACTTTCAAGAAACCAAAATCCTAAGTGTACAAACCAGGAACTGCGCTGTATAACAAGACACGATGTGGTATCAAACTTTGGAGCCAGGCACCTAGTGAAAAAGCTCTTAGGGCTGCGTTCTACCTTACTGAATACTAACATGGAGAAAAGCATCTCTCTGAAGACTTGTTACACTGCTGGAAAATCGCCAAGCGATCGTTGATTTAGCTGTTGATACAGCAACAAAAAAAAATGCAACCACCATCATGCGAGTTCTCATTAAAATATTGTTCCCAGAGTAAAGCTATTAAGTAGTCCGTAACACATGAGCAGTAAACTGCGTTCGTTACATTAATAATGAAGAGTAAGGGATCATCTGCAAGAGGTTAGCAAAGGTCAGATTGAGCAAGTATAGAGAAAAACACTGGGTGGTGGGACAATCACAAAGCGTAGCGATTACCTTCCCCATTATTGCTGGTAGCACCACCACAGGCGCTACGGAACAGCATTAGCCGCTAGCTGCTCCCAGAGCCGTACCTTTTCCAGAGAAGCATCCATCAGAAACGAACACAAGTTTAGTACTTTATTAGAATGCAATACCCTAAGCGTCCTTTATGAAAGGTAAGGCTGAACGCTCGCGTACAGACACACTGGAAATAAGCCCTCACGGAAGAGACGGCGTACTGCTGTAACACTGCACGCACTTTGAATGACCACTACCAGCACTGCACTGAAGTGCAGCTTTAGCTTCACGTTTCGGTTTTATTCAGTAGGCTTTGCTTTTTACAGAAGCCAAATTTTACAAACTAAGACTGCTCCTGCTCAAGAGCTTACAATCTAGTTTTAGACGGGGTAAACCGGAGTAACGAACTTAAGAGAGGAAATAAAGGACAACACAACTTCATCAAGATCAGTTTGTCTGTTTCAACAGCTCAGTATTTGTCCCAAAATACACACACTGCATTCGTATCTTATGGGAGTCAGAAGTATGGTTCAACGAGAATCTTGAGGACAGAGTAGGTAGAGGCCTATAAATGAGGCAACAGGACACTCGGCACCAGGTTCTAGTGAAAAACTGTTTATTAAATAAACCAAATAGAGGTGACACGTGTAACCATGTGAAATCTTATTACCGTAGCGTACCTTTTAAAAGCATTGCAACTTGATACCCGATACACACCTACTAGAACTCCATTAAATGCATCGGCCATTGATTTTCATACAAGAATGCCTAAAAGTGGACCGAGAAAGAGCAGACCAAGTAAGAGGAAGGAAAGGGGCGGGGGGGGGGGGGGACA